GTTAAGCATTTAGAGACTGGATTGAAGGATAATAGTTAGAGCTTGTTTGGGAGGGATTTTTAGGGGAAGAATTGATTTTGAATAGTGATATAGTGGGAAATGTGTGGTTGAAAAAGAAGAAAAAATTATTGATATGATGGAAAATACTATTTTATTGAAAAATGTATGGTTGAAAATAAGAATTGATTTACTGTAGAAAAATCTAATCCCTCCCAAACAAGGCCTAAATATTAACATTTAATTTTTACCATTCAAGTAAAATTTAGATAAACGCTTAATTCAATTAACCATACCTTCGGTGTAAATATTTGAATTTTTCGAGCCGAATAATTTATTTCACTATACTTACGTCTTTGATACAAGAAATAGAAAATTAGTCATACACTCAATAATTTATCCTCTATTTTTGCATCTATGATTATAAATTGTTTTTCTAATGTATTTTTTTTTTCAGATATTTAATAAGGTAGACTTGAATATGTGATTTATTCGAGTGTCGGTCTATATGTCACTAAAATATTTTTAAAGTTAGAAACATTGCTTCTTTAGGAAAACAACTACTATGATAGAATTTTATTATTAATAATAAAGAACTATTAGTACGACTTAGGAAGGGGAACCATACATAAGCTCGAGAAAGCAAGGTGAAAGTATGATTCAATCAATAGGTTAAATCTTTTGAATTTATATGATAGCTAAAGCAAATGCTTAAGAGACATAAATGACTCGACAACGATGACAATACAATAAGGACACTCAAAAAATCTAAATATATTAAGGCTATGCCTGTAGGCAATTAATTGACAGATTTTAATTGAAATTTCAACCGTAGCGCCCTACAACCGCAACATTGGACCATGTGTGAGAGGTGTGGGGGCCAGCAATTGAAAAAAAAAGGTTAAAAATGTGCTACTAATTTGGATAAAGTCAATGCCGACACACCCTAAATGTGCTGACTCCTAGTAAGCATACCATGAAGTTTCTTACTTTTCCATGCTTACAAAATTGAATCTTGATAAAATACACTTTGGTATCTTATTGTAGGACGAGAAATGTACCTAGTCCAATATCTTTTTATGTACAAAATTTGATTCAACTCTTGGTAGAAAGAGTAACGAAGTGAAAATTGAAAAATATATTTGCAATAAAGAGCTGGGTCCCAGTCGAAACTCTATGCTGTATCCCGCATATAATTTATCCGTTAGAAAGCGACCCTAACGGCTAGTTTTTCACCCTCCTGTATATATACTGCTGCATATTGCACATAGCCACCACAATAATCCCTGCAAGCTTTCTCTACCAAAACAAGTTTCTTGAACTTCAAAGTTTTCCATAGCAGTCTCGAAATGGCTAGTTTTTCAAGGGCAGTGTGTTCTTCACTTGTCGTCTTCTTCCTCTTCTTGAGCTTTTCAGAAGCCAGAGACCACTTGATTGGTGGCAAATCTGATTCATGGAAAGTCCCTTCATCTGAATCTGATTCTCTCAATCACTGGGCCGAAAAATCCCGATTCCAACTCGGCGATTCTTTAGGTATACATACATATATTTATGTACTAATGTAGTAAAAATTGTGCAAATCTTCTGTTATTTAACTTTTATGCAAATTTGAACTTTTTTTCAGTGTGGAAATTTGATGCGTCGAAGGATTCAGTGATGCAAGTGACAAAGAGAGACTACGTTACATGTAACACATCAAGTCCCATTGAAGCTTACACTGATGGCAACACGAAGGTGAAGCTGGAGCGATCGGGGCCATACTACTTCATTAGTGGGGCGGAGGGGCACTGCGAGAAGGGTCAGAAGGTTATTGTTGTGGTGATGTCTGAGAAGCACCGCCGCTTCATGGGCGTTTCTCCTGCACCTTCTCCGGCAGAAGTTGAGGGTCCGGCAGTTGCGCCTACCAGCAGTGCTGTAAACTTGAAGGGCAGCCTCTTGGTGGCACTGGGGGCTCTGTTGGGATTCCTTATGATGTGAAGTATTGGTTAAGAAGAAATTTGGTTAATCTTATTTATTTATTTTTTTGGATGGGAAATCAATTCATTTTATGTAATTGAAATTACAGAGTTATCTCAATATACATCTTTTTCATTTATTTGCAGAAAGAATTTACATATGAATTATTTATTTTTGGACACACACGAGATTTTTCAAAAAAGTCAATGACACGACACGTTGATTAAATTTTTTAAAATTCTTTATTTATATAGTATAAATTTAGAAAGAATTTCCATATTCAATCTTTTAAATATGACCTATTTGTTATTTACTAAAAATTTGAGTTAAAAATATTTACTAAAAATATATTATGGATCAATAATATCAACCACATCTTTCAGTCCCACATCTTTTCCACAACACATTTTCTAAAATTTCTATCACAGTCATTTAAAATCTGATTTTAATCTACATCAAACACCCTCATATTTACTACAGTGATGAATTATAAAAATTATATACCTGGTCAATAATTCGTTGTAAAAAAAAAAAAAACCAAAAAAAAAAAAAAAACTGGTAAAACAACTTCTTTCTACCTAATTTTCTTTCATTTAATAATTTAACCTTTTAAATCGGGCCATTAACATCCCCCATCCTCAAAAAATCTAGCAAGCCTTGTAAAAAACACGCTTGCGACACAAAATGAAAGATTGTGATAGAAATTTTTAAAATTAAAATTAAATTTTTAGTTGATTGTGATAGAAGTTTTTAAAATGTATGGTTGAAAAGTTGTGGAACCCATGAAAGATGTGGTTAATATTGATTTTTTGACTTTGACTTACAATAAAATCTGATTTTAATCTGAACCAAACAGGGGCTAAGCTCGTGTTTGGTCCAATTTGTTAAATGTCTTTTTTTTTTTCCCCAAACTCACTTACGACATTAAATGAAATTAAGCCCTTGTTTGGTCCCATTTCTTAAAATTCATTTTTTTTCCAAACTCATTTTCATACATTTCATGGAACTCACAACTTTTATAAACTTTTCAATCAAATATTTCACTAACTTTTTATTAAAAAATCTATTAAAAATATAATTTTTATCCAAACTAAACAAGGGCAAAGAAAAAGGTCATGCATGAAACGTCTTCAAGACTGAACACCCATTGCAAAAAGAAATGCACTACATTTACAGTGATTAGAGAGCTGTAAAATTTACAGCCATCTAATCACTGTACAAGTGGTTTTTNTCTCTCTCTCTCTAAGAGGGCAGGGGGGAAGGAGAAGAGTAATCCCATTTGTACACTTTTGTGTGCATTAAATTTGACACTCCTCTTATAAAAGAATGTGGGGCCCATGATTTTTTAAATTGCGGGCCCCACCTTTGTGAGAGGAATGTCATGCATGATGTACACCAAAGAGTGTAGATCAAGCATGACTCGAAGGAGAATAGGAGGCATACCCAGAACTGAAAGATTTCTAACATGCATGTAAAAGAAAAAAATAGATATTTGCTTGGAGTATAGGCAGGGAAACCGTAATCTCTGTGATCGCATATGATAATCATCTATTGCTTGAACATAGATCGCGAACAGTACACACAGTCCATGTGACAGACCCTGCATGGAGAAGTTGAGAAAGGGAAAGATATCAAAACATGGAAGATAACAAGAATGTTCAGGGTTATGATTAAGTCAACAAAAGAATGCATATAAGTTTGAGCAAGAACCAACAATAAACATTTCACACTACAACACAAAAACCTGGGATGTCGGAGCCACAATCAACTGCACAAGAAACTAAGGGTGGGTAAATTACTTACAGTTATCCTTTTAAGGGTTCCATAAAAAATACAGAGTATCTACTATTGCATATTGCCATCACAACTTGCCTCAGAGAACCTTCCAGATGACTCTACTCTACCCATTCAATGATCTAAACCTCAAAACTGTTTACGATAAAGTACTTCTGAAGGGTTACAACTTTTTGCTATTCCTGAATATGATAGCATTTATTATCTGATGGGCATTTTTTGCCAAGAAAAACAATGATTCATGATTCCCATATACTCTTAATTGCCTCAATTAGACTTGGGAAAACAGAGATACAAAAATCAAGAAAAAGAGAGTTCGATGCTTCCATCACTCGAGAGATTCATATCATGGTCATATACTGCTACTATATACAGTTTTTGAAGATCTTCTCTGCAGCAGGTTCAAACTTTATAAGGTTTAATAAATATTTCACCCCTATGGACTGTATTTATATCCCTAGTGGGATAAAATTACCAAAATAAAATCAAAACTACATCAAATTTTCACCCAGCTGTCTCTTTCTGAGCAGCAAGTAGAAATGTCTCTATACTCATTAATTTATTTAATTTAGAAAACTACCCAGCTGTCCCTTTCGGCTGAATTATTACTTTTATAACAGAAAATCACTAAAAACTGCCCATAAGTGTGGATTTAGGGAGACATCTTGTATAGTTAGGTCAATTACCGAATTGCATGGAACTTTCAAATAAGGGTGTGCATGAACTCTACCGAATCGTCTAACAAATGTCAATATCAATTTTGAAAATGTGAAGTTCAACCTCTAAAGGAGAATATGCTTCCAACTCATTCCAATATAATATGGAACTCCTCAAATGCAGCTTTGGGGACTCAAATTAGTCAATAATAGCACCTAAGACATGATTTGGAAAATCTAGTCTGAATCTATTTCAGTCCTAAATTCCTCCAGAACTTTCGGAAGTTTCCCATGTACAATTTTACGCTTTAAAAATTAATGGTGAATCAGCATCCATTTCGCACATTTTGGTCACATCATGTCTATTTATGCACGAAACTCTAGGATAAAATTCCAAGCCTCATAGAGATAAATTGCTTAGAAGCATATCCAGACTGAAAAAACTCAAAAGGCGTACTTTCCAACTCCAAATGTATACTTGGATACAGGCACAAAAAAGACACCTTAACAATCAAGTTTCCCGTAAATGATATCGTGCTTGATCTTATAAATCCTCCCTTAATTCCAAATTGCTCCTCCTCCAGGTTCTTGCACAAATATATATTGAATATTATTGACTGGCTCAATGTTGATTTGCTAAAAATGTTTGCAGTAGTTGTTTATCCATAGATATAACATTGGACTCGTGATTTCTATTTTTTTCCAATCATTCTCTTTGTAAAATTAGCCAGCAATCCACATCACCATGTAAAGCCTGTAAATCTATTCAGCCCTTCTCTCTGATAAATGATCACAAATGTGCCACCTATTCCATGCTTTGATTTCATAATGAATGTGTAACTTGCTAACTTAGAAGGATTAAATATACATGCTATAGTTTTTAAGAATCAATTCAACTTTTATAGCAAACAACAAACTAGGTTTCAATGACCATTGTTTATAAAAACTATTTGATGCTTACGTCGCAAAACCCGCTTCACGTGATACTTTCATAAAATGCCTCAAATAGTCCTTAAGCCCATTTGCTCAAATCAAGGTTACTAAGAAGTATGCCAGTTTGTAATGGCCTTAGCTATTTTGGGCTGTTTCTTTACAACCTAGAATGTTTTATACATTCTTTTCTTTTCTTTTTTTCCTGCTTATACGGAAAGGAAAGAGAAAGGAGAATGTACCTTTATAAGTGAAGGATGATATCAAAGAATCTTGTTAGCAATGATTATATAAGAGATTTCTACTTTGTTTCTACTTCTAGTTTAGATTAAATATATAATGTATTACTAATTTAAGAACTTTTTACTTTATTAATCTATTTATGTTTGTTTGCAAGTTAGACATTTAATTTTGTTCATTGTTTTACCATAGATTTTTAAGATAGTATATGGCTCATTATCAGCATGTTTTGTATTTTATTGGTTTGTTGAATTATTTCAACAAGAGTGTCTATTGAAATAGAAAGTGCACATAGATTCGTAATTTTTTAAGAAGTGTCTGTTCAAATAGATCCAATACTCTTTGCTAGTCTCAATTTAGGAAAAAACGACAAGAGGAATTGGCTTTGACTAATAAACTGTTCGAAATTGGTTTTCAATTTTTATCTGAACAGGAGTTGTTTACAAGCCTGCCAAATAGCCTGTTGGTGCAAATCAGCAAAGTTGCATGTCAATTACTTCAACTATAAAAAACAGAATCATTAAGTGGCATGTAGTATAGGAATTGAATCACATCTGATGTACCCCAACTAACCAGGATTCACTATTCCCAAGCACATTCTGATGCGCAAGAATACTCATTGTTAATTCCTTTTAAAACATATATTGTATATAGAACTATCCACACATATTCAAAGTAAAAAAAAAAAAAAAAAAATCTCTGACCCCAACTAGCACTTCAACACCATTATCATGGAAAAAGTACCACGGTTTGGAGATATGTGAAAGCCTTTCACTTTTGAAAACAGAATACACGCAAGTAAAGATTACTGTAATAGCCTACGATAAACCTTTGCAACATACTGTATAGATAAACTAGTATAGTCATAACTCAATCTCTATCTCAATGAAATAATTTAGAGATAATATGAAGCTGTTCCCATCAAAATGAAAATCGTGTGTTCACATAAACTTGGTCTTTTTGAAGAATTCTACAAAATAATGATAAAACATGTGACCTTCCATGTAAGAAAATGACATGTCTACATAATTAACACGATAACGACTTCCACCACATGTTCAACACTCTTCAAGTTTTATGATAAGGTTGTTAAACATTAGCAATTAGCCCTAAATTTCGTAAATTTCATATTATTGCATCCACCCCAAACTGTCCTAACAACAAAACTGTTAACAGAAAATTACCATCCATGAACAAGTTGAACCGAATCAACAGGATCACATGATAAGATAAGTCCAGGATCTACAAGCATCTAGGATTCCCAATTAAATGATCAAAGTGCAAGCAACAACACGAGATTTGGCGAAAAAGAGAAAAATATGAAGTCTACCAGAGGATCAGTCCAGAATTATGCACTCCTCATCTGAATTTTCAGGTTGTAAAGGTCCTTTAATACCACTT